CCCCAAAACCCCAAAACCCCAAAACCCCAAAACCCCATTTAAGCCTTTAGCTGTTGAAATTTATTAAAATATACGATTATAATTTTGAAAATGGAAAAATTCTCCAAGCCCAGCAAGTATTCGAGAAGTAAAGATTTAATCTGGAGGATAACCATGGATGAAAATAATCTTGCATTTACCAGTCTCAAGCCTTCACTCAAAGAACTTACTCAAGAGGAAATGAAGAACACAGAAACTCAAGATCAGTTCAATTTTTGTGAAGATGGCATTTTCAGGAGTTTCAAAACTGGGACTCTGCCAGTCTTCAACAAAGCCAAACTGGTCTACAATTCTACTACCCATACATGGTATAAAGTACTCGACCTCAAAACTGATGATGATGGAACCCCGATTTGGGCTAACTTGGCAATCAGAGATGGCTCAGAAACAACAGAAATAAGCTGCAAACATGAATTCGACCAATTTAAGAACTCTATCAAAGTTTTAATCAACATCAACTTTGCCAACTCAGAAAGTATCATTATTGAAGTGAACCCTAAAATCTATGATAAACTCGAAGCTGCTCTTGAAGGACCATTCCAAGGAGTTGAAGCTTCAATTCAATCATACAGGCTGTTCTATAAAGGACGAGAACTTAACATAGATGAAAGCCTTGCCAATATTGATCACATTTATGATGGTGCTACCATCCTGGCAACTGAAGGGACTTCAACTCCTTCCAAGTTCTGAAGGTTCCCACCTATCAATGAAATGAGATCTAATTGGTCGAATTCAGGTAGGGGTGCAGATGCCATCATATTTATCCCTAACCAAAACATCAGATTATGAGGGTTCAGTACTTTTGCAGCAACCACTGATCATCAATATGAAATGAAGTACATTGTAAAAATAAATGGAATCATTGTTGAACAAGACCAGGTTACTGCTAGTGGTTGGGAAGACAAATACTATCACAGATATACACTTCAGGATACTTACCCAGTGCAATTAGGACAAGATATTTCGCTGACAGTCTGGATCGCTAAAGACATATCAAGCCACCAATATGTATCCACCTACGCAGGCAGCAATGGAAATGACTATACAACAATCGACAATGAACATATGGGACTATTCACCATCAAGTCTACTAAAGAGAGCAGAAATGGAACTTCAGTATCCAGCGGTCACTTTCCTGAAATATTCTACCACTTATCCTAACCGCTTCCTACCCGACGCTTCTTCCCCCTTCAATATCTTCTTCATTCCCTGGGGTTTTGGGGTTTTGGGGTTTTGGGGTTTTGGGG